CTAGTTCATTCGGCAGGTGAGTTGTTACACACTCCTTAGCGGATTCCGACTTCCATGGCCACCGTCCTGCTGTCTAGATGAACTAACACCTTTTGTGGTGTCTGATGAGCGTATATTCTGGCACCTTAACCCCGCGTTCGGTTCATCCCGCATCGCCAGTTCTGCTTACCAAAAATGGCCCACTAGTAACGATACATTCAACTGTCCACGTTCAATTAAGTAACAAGGACTTCTTACATATTTAAAGTTTGAGAATAGGTGAAGGTTGTTTCAACCCCCAGGCCTCTAATCATTCGCTTTACCTCATAAAACTGAAAACGTTACTGCTATCCTGAGGGAAACTTCGGCAGGAACCAGCTACTAGATAGTTCGATTAGTCTTTCGCCCCTATACCCAAATTTGACGATCGATTTGCACGTCAGAACCGCTGCGAGCCTCCACCAGAGTTTCCTCTGGCTTCACCCTATTCAAGCATAGTTCACCATCTTTCGGGTCCCAACAGCTATGCTCTTACTCAAATCCATCCGAAGACATCAGGATCGGTCGATGGTGCACCCCGAAAGGTTCCCACCTCCGTTCACTTTCATTACGCGCTCGGGCTTGACACCCAAACACTCGCATAGATGTTAGACTCCTTGGTCCGTGTTTCAAGACGGGCCGCTTACAGCCATTACGCCAGCATCCTAGCAGATGCGCGGACCTCAGTCCAGGCTGGTTGCATGTCGTCTCCCCTATAAGTTCTCCCCGAAGAGAGGTACATGACAGAGACCTTTATCCAACCGCCCAAACTGATGCTGGCCTGCCTATAGAAGAGTGCACCGGGTAAAAACCCGGATGAGCAACTACAGGCAAGTCTGGCTGCAAGCGCTTCCCTTTCAACAATTTCACGTGCTTTTTAACTCTCTTTCCAAAGTGCTTTTCATCTTTCGATCACTCTACTTGTGCGCTATCGGTCTCTGGCCAGTATTTAGCTTTAGAAGAAATTTACCTCCCATTTAGAGCTGCATTCCCAAACAACTCGACTCGTCGAAGGGGCTTTACACGGTAAAGGCTAGCGACCACGTACGGGATTCTCACCCTCTGTGACGTCCTGTTCCAAGGAACTTGGACCGCTGCCAATGCCAAAGCGCCCTCTGCAAATTACAACTCGGACGCCGAAGACGCCAGATTTCAAATTTGAGCTGTTGCCGCTTCACTCGCCGTTACTAGGGCAATCCCTGTTGGTTTCTTTTCCTCCGCTTATTGATATGCTTAAGTTCAGCGGGTATCCCTACCTGATCCGAGGTCAAGAGTGTAAAAATGTACTTTTGGACGTCGTCGTTATGAGTGCAAAGCGCGAGATGTACTGCGCTCCGAAATCAATACGCCGGCTGCCAATTGTTTTGAGGCGAGTCTACACGCAGAGGCGAGACAAACACCCAACACCAAGCAGAGCTTGAAGGTACAAATGACGCTCGAACAGGCATGCCCCATGGAATACCAAGGGGCGCAATGTGCGTTCAAAGATTCGATGATTCACTGAATTCTGCAATTCACACTACTTATCGCATTTCGCTGCGTTCTTCATCGATGCCAGAACCAAGAGATCCGTTGTTGAAAGTTGTAACTATTAAGTTTTTTCAGACGCTGATTGCAACTGCAAATGGTTTAAATTGTCC